TTTGCTGGAGCTCCCCTGGATATGGGACTTTGTGCTTAGGCTGCAAGGCAAGTTACAACAGAACACTGCTGTAAAGATGTTATCTGTCTTTCTCTGTGTTGATGGAACAGGTGAACATACATAGATACACACAAGCTCCCGGTGGAGCAGGAGAAAAGGCCAAGAGAATAGTATGAGGCTTTTGCACAGGGGAACTCTTGCAGCTCTGCACAGATCTGTACTTCCCCATTCTTCCAAGCATCCTTTGGGGAATAGGATGTACTATATCGTGGGGGGGGGATATAAGCCCATGGCCAGCTCTTGACCCACCTTGTCATGACCAGAGCACCCAGGCAGCAGGGCTGAGGGATTCTAAACAGAAGTATAGCAGAAGCTAGAGGAATCTGGTCTGGAATGTGAGTGCTGGGCATCTCTTCATGGGCTTTGTCTGCTGAAAGCTGTTCTCTTCCCATCCTACTGCTCAGGATAGGCATGTGTGCAGAGAGCTGGGGAAGAGCTGTGAAAGCTCCTTTGGTGAAGGAGAAAGCAGCTGCCTGCATGCAGCATCCCCAGCCACCATGCGGTAAGAAGAATAGGCAGGAGGGCAGCAGAATGGAACAGGATGGGATGGAGTATACAGTGTTGCTGAGCCCTGGTACAATGGCTGTGCCCAACACAGGTCAGAGCAGGATGAGCCACCGCACAGATCAGCCAGTACAGCCGCAGCTCCAGGAAGCTGGCCACAGGATAAGGTCATGGGCTGCAGCCTGAGCACCAGCTCACAAAAATATAAATGGAATTCTCAAAAAATCTGCACCCACCATTTGCACAAATCCAGCATGCAGACAGAAGCATATCCTAATATTCCTGTATATGTTAATGACATTGTGTGGTACTCAGAGAGGCTGCACAGAGAAGGAAGATGTACTGAGAAGCTTGAAGACACTGGAGATACTGATGCTGAAAACGTATGTCTGCTCTGCTAGGTCTTCCATTTAAGACTTAAAAAGCATGTACCTTATCTTGAAGAGCTGCAAAAAGGCTTGCAGCAGCTGCCTGCATGCAGCAGGTGCAAGACGGATCTAGACATGGCCTTGACTGAAGGATGAATGGCTACAGTGTGCCCCACCTTCCAGTGCCCAGGGGAGTGATGGATCTATGCTAATTTCTTCAAAGTAGTTGTTTTCTCACCTGATCAGTTTAAAAAGAAGAAGTTAAGCACAGAAGGACACAATAAGAGTTTCATCAAATGTTTAATGAGTCTAAAGAGAGAAATAATGTCAGTCCACGTGGAGACCCTGAATGCAGGGAGCAGCAGGAGCAGGCAATAATCTGTTGCCTTTCCCCAAGGCAGAGCTGCCACAGAGTATCCATCTAACTGCTCATCAAACCAGAGAGCTACTAGGTCACTCAGTTGGTTTCAGGGGACTTCACAGAGAGTTCTGGGGGTAAGTAGAAAACAACAAAGGAAAGAGATAGGAAGAATAAGTGGAAGAGAGTATTGGAAGACTTTGGCCACGTTGTCAGAGAAGCCAGGCTGGCACTTCTGTCTGTCCTGACAGGGTAAGCTCCCATAACACTATTCCAGCAAGTGTTTCTTTCTTCATTTGCCTTTTGGACTAGCTTCAAATTTTTGTGTATTCTGGTATCCAGAACAATTTGACCATTATCAAGAGGAGAAAGTACACCCAAGAGAAAGTCTGCCAATCCAAGTCAGACATCAGTTTTAGATGTCAGTTAATTCTATCTGAGAAGCGTCTGTCAGAGCTGAGGTGAGAAGTGGTAGAATGGCTCAAGCCCAGGCAAGACGTGTCAGTTAAATGGGAGAAAACTCCATCCAGCGACTGTCCAGGACTTCCACGGAGCCTGGCCAGGCCATGTGGATAACGGGAGGTCTGCAAATGTACAGGGAAAAATCCATCAAGGCTGCCCTAAATGTGGAATTTACTGAAGGCTGAATGTCTACAGTTGCCTCAATATCCCCCTCACCCCTTTGAATCCCCATAGTTCACTAGTAGGGAAGTTAGAGACTTGTGCTTCATCGTCTCAGAGCAAGAATTTTCTCATCTGGCCATAGGAGGCAGAAGAAGGACAAACCATACAGGGATGCAATGAAGGTTGCGGCAAATGTTTAATGAGCCTAAGGAGGGAATGGATGTGAGTTGAAGTGGAGATCCCAAGGGCAGAGAGCAGCAGAAGCAGACTGGAATCTGTTCCCCTTTTCCTATGGCAGAAGAGCCATGGGACACCCACCTAAATGCCCCTCAGAGGAGAGAGGCCAGCAGGTCCCTGGGACCTTCCCAGAGAGTTCTGGGGAGAGCAACGGAGAACAAAGAGAAGGGTGAGAAAGAATGAGTGGAAGAGAATATTGGTAGACATGGGCCGTGTTGTCAGAGATGCCGGCCTGGCCCCTGCTGTCCTGAGAGAGCAAGCCAGACGTGGTCATCTACACTGAAAACAGTGGCAGAAAGTCAGTTCTCCTGTCCAGCACCGTGTCGTGAGATTGTGGGGGACCTTGACTGGGAGCAGTGCCCAGCACCTTTAGTTGCACCTTCTGCCACAGTAGCGGTTGGAAATGCAGGAGAGGTCAAAGCCCCCCGAGGTGATGGGCACGCCCTGACAGCTGAGGATGCTGCCAACAGCAGCGGAGGTGGAGGAGCCCACGGCGGTGTTCTGCGGGAAGGAGCTGAGGATGGGTCCGGGCAGGGTCACCACCACGGGAGAGGGCTCAATGACGATGGTGGAGTCCTGGCACTGCCTGACACAGGGCTCATTGCAGCTGCTGGCCAGAGGAGTGGGGCCGCAGGGCCGGCATGGCACGCACGGGTCGCAGCAGGACATGTCTTTGGGTTGGCAGTGCACCTGTTGGGAGAGAGGACCGAGTGGAGAAAATAGAGAGTCAGGAGGAGGCTGCCATCCCACCAAGAGGGAATCATGCCCATGCAGTCCTGGGAGTTGGAGGCTGTGCACGGATGATCATCGGCTTCCTGGTCTGTTCCTGCCAGGTCCCAGAAAGAAGCACCCGGTGCCTATCAAGCTACTTCTTAGATCCTAGCCCAGAAGCCCCGCAGTGCAGTCCCAGCTACCGTCCAGGACCAACCTTCTGCCCACTTCCCTTTCCCACGACCAGCAGCTGCAAGCTTTGTCATGGTACAGAGCTGGTAGCACATGAGAGGTCTATAGACCTCAGGGCCTCCTGATGAAGAGAGAGAGAGAGAGAGAGACAGGAAGGGGGCTCACACTCGCCTGGTTCCCAGGAAGAAGGAGGCAAGAGAAGCGAATGAGAGAGTAAGGAGCTGGGCTGTCTTTTATAGTGGACCGAAGCTGACCCATATCCAGAGACATCAGAGACTTACAGTAGTGATTATTTTCTGACAAGCGCCTCTTGAATGCCAAGCATCCTAGCTAATGATATGGACAGTGTGCTGGCTTCCTGCGCAGCACTGCTGTGTTTCCAGCTTTGTGTAATTTCCATGCCACGCTGAAGGCATCTTTTGAGAGTAATGAGGGGAGGCCCAAGCATTTCCACACCACAGACACCAGGGTGGGAAACAGAGTGAATTCATGTGCTACAAGAGTCCAGCAAGTGGAAATGACGTCAGCCCGGGTCACTCCTCTGGGGCCTTTCTTAGGGGCCTTTCTTGCAGGAGGTGTACCATCTCCGGAGTGGGACCCGATTCCACTTGACACAAGTTTCTGGAAAATTCTGCCCTCCTGGTTTGTCTCCTCGTATTTTGCCATCCCGTCCGGTGCTGTCCCATCCTCTCCTGCACCATCTTGCTGCCCTCTGACCTTCTGCCTTTGCCTTGCAGGCACGTTGCAGGCAGGCAGCTGCTTTCTTCTCTGCTCGAGGAGTTTTGCAGCCACTCTGCAGCTAAGCTCACTCATGGCTGTAACCCAGCATGTGCTGCAGGTTGGGAAGAGCACAGACAGAACCCCGCTCATGCAGATTTGCCGTGCAGTCACACTGCGATCTACTTTTGTTTAGAAATCAAGCATAAAGGGCAGGAGACCAGCATGGACGAGCATGGCACTCACGGAGAAACTCCAGGGGAGGAAAAGTTGTCTTTACAATGTGCATCATGAGCCTGGTCACTTGGGAGGGAAATACTCAGACTGGTGTCTGAGTCTGTAAGGATGCAAGAAGGAAGGCTAAGGCCCAGAGAGAATTACATTTGGTGAGAGAGATCAAGGATAACGTGAAAGTCTTCTTTAAGTATGTCACGGGGACAAGCAAGACAAGAGAAAGTGTGGATCCCCTGCTTAATGTGGTGAGTGCCCTGGCCTTGTGGATGCCATGCCCAAGTAGTTGGAAGGAAAGAAGTTGATTGGAAGCAGTGAACACGGATTCACCAAAGGAGAAATCATGCTTGAGCAACCTCACAGGATTTTGTGATATCATCACCCACTGGGTGGATGAGGGGACAGCAGTGAACGATGTGTACCTTGACCCCAGCAAGGCAACAAACAGGTACTGTAGCATTGGACATTGCTACATGTTCAGCTCATCTGAAGATGATCTCTCGAGGTCCCTTCCAGTCCCTGCAAATCTGTGATTCTGTGATCCTGCTGGCTTCTGCTGGGCTTCTGCATGAACTCCCTCAGCCCTGATGCCTTGGATCAAGACCTACAGAGTGAGACATGGGAATAATCCTCTTAGTCCTGTGTGATTCTTCTTGAAATCAGCGGTTCCCCCACCTGGGAGGGTATATGATTTACCTGCTGTCTGTATGGCTCCCGTCATTTTTTTCTTATTAAAATAGCCCTCCTGTTGCAGCCTTTGCTCTTGAGACATTTTGAGGTCTGGAGAGGACTCTGCGCAACTTGGTGCCCCATTCCGTGATGAGTGAGACAAAAAGCAAGGAGACAAAACACAGCAGCAGAATTGGCCACACAGAGAAGGGGTCAAGACTCCACACTCACGAGCTGGTACAGCTCTTGCCAGAAGGGCCCCTAAGAAACCTTAAGGAGTGACCTAGGCTGACATCATCTGCCTTGGCTGGACTCTGGTAGCACACAAAATGAGTCTGTTGCTCTCACTGGTGTTTGTGGTGCGGAAATGCTTGGGCTTCCCTTCCTGCCTCCCAGAAGATGCCTTCAGTCAGGAAGTGACATGGCGTAAAGCCAGAAATGAAACCGAACTGCTCAGGAAGCCAGCAGACCACCCATATCATTATCTGGGATGATTTGCATTCTGGGCAAGAAAAGCGTGTCAGCAAATAATCACCACTATAAGCAGTGCCTCTGGATATAGGTCATCTTAGGTCCGGTATAAAAGGGAGCCCAGCTCCTTGCTTTCTCATCCACCGTTCTTACCATCTTCTCCTTGGGAACCAGGTGAGTGTGAAGCTCCTCTCTGTCCTTCCGGCTCAACTAAAGGAGGTCTCAGCACAGTGAGTGTCTGAGAAGTGATCACCTTTGTGTCATGCCAAACGGTGGGACTTGTCACGGGGAAGAGAAGTGCAGATTTGTCCTGGACTCCGAGCCCGTGTGTAGGTAGCGTGGGGGCTCAAATTTGGGAACTAGCTGGATAGGCACGGGAGGGTATTTTGGGCCAGCAGCTAGCTGGATATTTGGAGTCCAAGAATCCTTTGACTTCGTCTTTGCATCCTTCAGCTGCCAAGAGTGTACGTGCTTTGATTTAGTTGTGGCCTGTTGGACCTCTGTTCCTCATGTATCCCCGTGTTCTGCTTCCTTCCTACTCTCACTCCCAACAGGTGCACCAGCAGTCCCAAGTCATGTCCTGCTGCGACCCATGTGTGCCATGCCGGCCCTGCGGCCCGACCCCTCTGGCCAGCAGCTGCAATGAGCCCTGTGTCAGGCAGTGCCAGAACTCCACCATCGTCATTGAGCCCTCTCCCGTGGTGGTGACCCTGCCCGGACCCATCCTCAGCTCCTTCCCGCAGAACACCGCCGTGGGCTCCTCCACCTCCGCTGCTGTTGGCAGCATCCTCAGCTGTCAGGGCGTGCCCATCACCTCGGGGGGCTTTGACCTCTCCTGCATTTCTAACCGCTACTGTGGCAGAAGGTGCAACTGAAGCAGTGCTGGGCACTGCTCCCAGTCAAGGTCCCCGTGGAAATCACAGCATGCCACTGGACAGGAGAACAAATGTGGTGCTGCTCTCTCTGCCCTGCAACACACACAGGACGGGGCCTGCTGGACTTCCCTGACCACATAGAGAAAGTCTACCCGTATTCTCTTTTGCTCTCTCTTCCTATCTAGTATCTCGCTTGTCTGTTTGCCTCAGACATCTCTGTCTGTACCCTGAAAACCAGCCTAAAGAGACCTGACGCCTCTCTTCATTTCTCGGCCAGTATGTGTGGGCCTGGTGGCAACGCTGTCGTAGCACTGGGCAACAGGTTCATGCCCGTTGCTGCTGCTCCCCACACTTGCTGCCTGCGCTTGCAGTGACATCGTTTCCCTCCTCTGACTCATTAAACACTTGCTGCATCCTCTTCTGTGTCGTGCAGAGTTTCTGTTCTTGTCGTTTGCGCACAGATGTCCAAAGGAGAAAGCCACGGCTTGAGTGGGAATCACCGGTGGGAGGTTCCATCATTCTTCTAGATCTGGGCGGCCTGTCAGCGCACACTGCTGCAATTTCATCTTTCAGGCACCCTCTGTTGAAGCAGAGGAAGTCATCCGCGATTCCTATTTAGCCAATGGCTGTTAGCCGTTGCCTGGCTGTGTCTCTGCTTAGACCTATCCCTTAGAGCCTGGAGCACCTCACGGGACCGGGCTTCTTGACCAATGAGAGCCGGTGTCCGGCCTGGCCTTCTGTTGGCCTCCTGGCTTGGTGCGCTGTAGCCCCTGTGTGGAGCCTTCAGCCAGGCCCCTCTTGGGCCTGGCCCTGGCCTGGGTGCCGGCTCCTGCTCTCACCCTGGCACCAAAACCTTCTACGTGTAAATAACCCACGTGCTGCTTGCTTCAGGGCAGTGTCCTGTAGCTGCTTCTGGGCTGGCGTCACCTGCATTCAAAACCGAGATCTGTTGTGATGCGTCTACAGAACCACATTTTCCCAGTTCCTCCTTCTCTTGATTATGTCAAAATCCTCCTAGTGAAGAAGTTAAGTTATTGATGTCGCCTCTCCTATTCCCTGTCTGCATCCCATGTTAATGGAGGTATTCTGGGAGGCTGTCCTTAGGGACACAGGAACTGAGCAGAGCAGGCAGTCCTTTCAGGACACCTTTCTGAGAGCAGAAGAGCTCTCCCTCCCAAAGGGACAGAAATGATGCAGGGAAGGACGGACACCAGTATGAGCAGCTGAGCAAGGACTGGATGGTCAAACTGGGGATACTGAGGAAAGGTATAGCCAGTGGAAGCTGGGATGAGTGGCCTAGGAAGTCTGCAGGCCTGCTGTCCAGATGTGCAGAGATGCAATCATGACTGCCGGGGCTCAGGTGGAGGTGAACTTGTTGAGAGGTGTGATAACTAAAACAATGAGATTCTAGAGGTTCCCTGGTCAGAAGACACAGCTGAAGTAGAACGTCCTACCTCAGATCAGTGAGCATGGTGACGAGTCTTCAACTGACATTGTTAAGGCAGCGATACTCAGCAAGTTCTTTGCCCTGGCCTTCCTTGGTAATCAGGCATCCCAGGTCTCTCACATCCTTGAACCTGTAGGCAGGGGTCGGGGGAGCAAAAACCCTCCGACTGTAGGAGCAGAGCACATTGGAGGCCACCTGATGAGACTGAAAGTGCACCACCCTCCAGGACTGGAGAAAGCAGCTTCTAGCTGTGACGTAGATGGTGTGGTTGATTGTACCCTCAGGAAATTTGCCAATTGGACTAAGGTGAATGGGGCATGTGATGGGACAGAGGTAATTGATGGCATCCTTAGGGACCAAGACAGGCATGAAAATCAGCCCATTTGAAATTCATGTAGGTCACGTGCAAGGTATATTGCACTTGGGTGATTGCAATGCCAGGTCTGTCCACAGTCTGAGAGAACACAGTGAGAGGAGGCCTGTGGAGAAGGACTGCCCATACTTGAAAATGACCTGTTAGCAGGATGGGGTATTATTGGAATCAGTATTTTTGTCTTGTCAGGTACTCTACACTCTTTTGATTGCGTGGGGTATTTCTGGTCACTTGGTCACAGAAGGGAAGAACGAACGGTAACTGCCAGGAGACTTCATTCTTCCACTTCTGCTGTCTGCTTGGTGGAGGAAAAGCAAAAACAGACTGGGAGTCACACAGCTGCGCGCTCTCCTATCACTGCTCCCTTGTTTTTCCAGGCTACAGCATTACAGGAAGGGCTTTGGTTTTGCAAACTCTCATTTTGTTGGATTTAATTGCAGTCGTACTGTATTCTATTGTATTGTCTCACCTTCTGATGTTATACTTAGAAAATTAACTTTATCGCATAGGTGTTTGCCACTGTTTTCCTCACCTGGGCCCATCACCCTGCGTTTTCTCTCCCTTCTTGCCCCCTTCCTGGGGCCTGGGTCCCTGGGTCTCTTCGTTTCCTTCTCATGGGTCTAGCCTGAAGCAGGCCACACAGTGACATTAATTATTCTAGCTGAAAGTTTGGTAAGAAGACCATTAAGGCAACCTTTCAAATGAAAACACTGTGGGAGTCTGGGATGCAATGCGCTGCTTTGTCTCTGCTCTCTCTCCCAACAGGTGCCCCTTCAGCCCGATGATTAGTCCTGCTGTAAGCGGGGCCTGTCATGCCAGCCCTGCGGCCAGACCCCTCTGTCCAGCAGCAGCAGTGAACCCTATGTCAGACAGTGCCAGGACTCCACCATCATCCCTGAGCCGTCTTCTGGGCTCGTGACCCTGCCCGAACCAATCCTCAAAGCACCCCTGTGGGATCTTCAACCTCCGCACCTGTTTAGAATCCCTCCGCCTGGTACCCCTGTGCTCTGGCTGAATACTCCATTCAGCGACTGTCCAGGACTTCCACGGAGCCTGGCCAGGCCATGTGGATAACGGGAGGTCTGCAAATGTACACAAAGGGACACACGCAGCAGAGCTGGGACAAGGCTGCTCTAGATGAGGCCTTCACTGAAGGCTGAATGTCTACAGTTGCCTCCCCAACCCCCCACTTCCCCACCTGCCACCCCACTAGTAGGGAAGATAGAGACTTGTGCTTCATCGTCTCAGAGCAAGAATTTTCTCATCTGGCCATAGGAGGCAGAAGAAGGACAAACCATACAGGGATGCAATGAAGGTTGCGGCAAATGTTTAATGAGCCTAAGGAGGGAATGGATGTGAGTTGAAGTGGAGATCCCAAGGGCAGAGAGCAGCAGAAGCAGACTGGAATCTGTTCCCCTTTTCCTGTGGCAGAAGAGCCATGGGACACCCACCTAAATGCCCCTCAGAGGAGAGAGGCCAGCAGGTCCCTGGGACCTTCCCAGAGAGTTCTGGGGAGAGCAACGGAGAACAAAGAGAAGGGTGAGAAAGAATGAGTGGAAGAGAATATTGGTAGACATGGGCCGTGTTGTCAGAGATGCCGGCCTGGCCCCTGCTGTCCTGAGAGAGCAAGCCAGACGTGGTCATCTACACTGAAAACAGTGGCAGAAAGTCAGTTCTCCTGTCCAGCACCGTGTCGTGAGATTGTGGGGGACCTTGACTGGGAGCAGTGCCCAGCACCTTTAGTTGCACCTTCTGCCACAGTAGCGGTTGGAAATGCAGGAGAGGTCAAAGCCCCCCGAGGTGATGGGCACGCCCTGACAGCTGAGGATGCTGCCAACAGCAGCGGAGGTGGAGGAGCCCACGGCGGTGTTCTGCGGGAAGGAGCTGAGGATGGGTCCGGGCAGGGTCACCACCACGGGAGAGGGCTCAATGACGATGGTGGAGTCCTGGCACTGCCTGACACAGGGCTCATTGCAGCTGCTGGCCAGAGGAGTGGGGCCGCAGGGCCGGCATGGCACGCACGGGTCGCAGCAGGACATGTCTTTGGGTTGGCAGTGCACCTGTTGGGAGAGAGGACCGAGTGGAGAAAATAGAGAGTCAGGAGGAGGCTGCCATCCCACCAAGAGGGAATCATGCCCATGCAGTCCTGGGAGTTGGAGGCTGTGCACGGATGATCATCGGCTTCCTGGTCTGTTCCTGCCAGGTCCCAGAAAGAAGCACCCGGTGCCTATCAAGCTACTTCTTAGATCCTAGCCCAGAAGCCCCGCAGTGCAGTCCCAGCTACCGTCCAGGACCAACCTTCTGCCCACTTCCCTTTCCCACGACCAGCAGCTGCAAGCTTTGTCATGGTACAGAGCTGGTAGCATATGAGAGGTCTATAGACCTCAGGGCCTCCTGATGAAGAGAGAGAGAGAGAGAGAGACAGGAAGGGGGCTCACACTCGCCTGGTTCCCAGGAAGAAGGAGGCAAGAGAAGCGAATGAGAGAGTAAGGAGCTGGGCTGTCTTTTATAGTGGACCGAAGCTGACCCATATCCAGAGACATCAGAGACTTACAGTAGTGATTATTTTCTGACAAGCGCCTCTTGAATGCCAAGCATCCTAGCTAATGATATGGACAGTGTGCTGGCTTCCTGCGCAGCACTGCTGTGTTTCCAGCTTTGTGTAATTTCCATGCCACGCTGAAGGCATCTTTTGAGAGTAATGAGGGGAGGCCCAAGCGTTCCCACACCACAGACACCAGGGTGGGAAACAGAGTGAATTCATGTGCTACAAGAGTCCAGCAAGTGGAAATGACGTCAGCCCGGGTCACTCCTCTGGGGCCTTTCTTAGGGGCCTTTCTTGCAGGAGGTGTACCATCTCCGGAGTGGGACCCGATTCCACTTGACACAAGTTTCTGGAAAATTCTGCCCTCCTGGTTTGTCTCCTCGTATTTTGCCATCCCGTCCGGTGCTGTCCCATCCTCTCCTGCACCATCTTGCTGCCCTCTGACCTTCTGCTTTTGCCTTGCAGGCACGTTGCAGGCAGGCAGCTGCTTTCTTCTCTGCTCGAGGAGTTTTGCAGCCACTCTGCAGCTAAGCTCACTCATGGCTGTAACCCAGCATGTGCTGCAGGTTGGGAAGAGCACAGACAGAACCCCGCTCATGCAGATTTGCCGTGCAGTCACACTGCGATCTACTTTT